CGTATCTTATCGTATCGTATCGTATCGTATCGTATCGTATCGTATCGTATCGTATCGTATCGTATCGTAAATCAGTCTGTTTTGCAAATATTGGGCTACAACTTGATGTGGTAGTACTCAGACTTATACTCTAGGCCGTAACACGTGCCAGTCTGAGAACAGATCGTCTAGTTTTACATTTGTGTTATTTTCCATCCAGATCCAGACCTATGAGATCATCCTAACATTGGGGCAGGCATTCGAGGTGGCTTATCAAATGGCGGTCCAGTCCAGAGCGAGACACTACATGCCCCCGTCATCCCTGGGCTCGGAGTTCATAGAAACCAAAGCCAGCCGTCCTGTGTCTCAGTCATGGAGCAGCATGAGAAGATCAGCGGTGAGTACCTGGACGCCTTAAAAACTTGTGAGAGGAACCTTCGCTGTTTTATTTTTATTTTTTTGGGGGGGCGGGGGGTTTAGAAGGAATATTTGGTGGTGGAGTCATAATTGAAAAAATGTGCACAAACCTCATGACCGACTTTTCTTCCCCCGCTGGATCCCCGGAGCACCACCTGCAAAGGGAAATTTGCTGTGTGTGTGGTAGAAAGTGATGAGTCATTACTTAGCTACCAGCTTCATCTCGCATACCCCTCAGCGCTGAGAGTCACTCCGGATCAGGAGAGATTTCCTGATCTCCCCTGGAAAAAAAACACCTAAATAAATACATTAAAAAAAATGGAAATAGTGATGAATGAAAGGTTTATGTGTTGCTTACAGGCAGATGAGTGATTTGTTCCGGGCATTCTCGACGGAACTCGGCACCCACGGTTGGAACCCCGCCCACCGCTTCCCCCCCGGCTTCCTGATTGAGTGCGCTGCGTAAACGCTTCGCGCCGATCCTCGGGGCCGCGCTGATGTATTGACCTTTCAGGCAGCATATAATAGGCCTTCAGTGATCACTGTCACCTGAGAGAGCCGCACAGCCCAGGAGCACGCTCACTGGCAGGACCAGCTGCTTATGCAGAGACACAAATCATTTTGTTTTACCACCTGCCTGCTGCTTGAATTTATAGAGTCATCACTGATCTGCATAATGAGCCTGGCTCGGTGTTGGACTTTTAGACGAGAGGCGGGCTGATTTCTGTCACCTGTAGTTAGTTTTTGCGCCGTTTGTGTTGCCACAGTATGTTGTTGGTTTAAACGGAAACCGAGACACTCGTACAGTTTTATATGTCCTCCCCAAGGAGCCATTAACTGTAAGCCCTGTCCCACTTAATTACCGTCGTCACATGGTTGTTCTGCTTTAACGTGGCGCTTTCTGCTTTACAGCAATCCATTTTTTTTGGACTAACATAAAATCTGATGACTGCAAATTTTATCAGCTGCAGTTAACAGTTAATGAAATTAATTTTGGTCCCCCGGAGTGTTATTAAAATGCTCTCTCTTGCTGACCATTTAATTCTTTCAGCTGAGCTGTTAAGGGGTGCGAAGTGCACGCTTGATACCAGCATATATGGTTTTGTGAGGAAGTCTAAAGCAGTGGTGTTCAATACAAATTTACCAAGGATCACCCCCCAAAAAAACCTGTCTGCTCTAGCCACACGTCCAGAATAAATCTATTTAAATGTTATTTTAGTGACAGTCACACTAGTTTTATCCACTTGACATTGTTTTTTTCCCCAGGTCTGTACCTCTCAGTGGGCTGGCAGCTTCTCCCTGCTGAGAAAAGCAGAGGAATATTGTAAAAAACTAGAAATGSTGCAGCTCAAGCAGACACCCTTCTCCACACACATCAGCAAATGATCCGCACRGCAAACATGGAAATTAAGAAAAGAAAATATAATTAAAGGGTTTCAGAACTGATGTGGAAAAACACGACTCCATATGCTTTCTTTTTGTTTTAAAGTAATTAAAAAGCTTTTTTTTATGGTAATTAGTGTATCAGCCCGTTACGACGCCTCTTTTGACAGGAGCTAAACATAAACGACTTGACAGTCACAAAAAGCTACAGTGATGGAAAAACAACTAAACGGTGACTTAATAAGAGCAAACCTGACAGCAAAGCATCACAAAGGGATGCAAATGTGATCAAGATGAGGTGCAAACAATTTCATAAATGTGCGAAAAGATGACAAAGTATGACCTCACTGCTGGACAACCACAGTTTCAAAAAAGTTGGGACATTGTGTAATATATATATA